ATGTAATGCAAAAATGGTCGATTAACATGTTCCGTCGGTTGGTATCTATTTGCAGATGCATACTAATATAATCACTTTGGTATTCGCTTGCCCAATTTGCGATTTTATACGCTTGATCCGTAATTGCGTCTATCTTCTTCACCAGTCTACGGTGGATTTCTAATTTTTAGCATGCTGCTTGCGGCCGTCATTGCAAGAGTTTCGTCTAGATCGCCAAAGCCTTCGCTTAAAGACACTTAATCTAAGACAAAAAATAATTATATATATACGGGGTGCTTGAAATATAAGTAATTAAATCAACGTCAAATGAACTAGAAAAAGTTCTCAATAAGAAGTAATAATTGTCAAGAATCGTTGAAACAAACAAATATGAACAATTGATATACCTAGTACAAAAAATACTGAATTCTTTTTCGCCTGGGGTGGCGGGTGATGAAAAATTTTCCGTGAATATAGCCAGACGTGATCCAACTCGTGCGCCACCAGCTTTTTATGATTATGATGAATGATGCCCTCTCGCAGGAAAGGAGACTTATCTTGAGCTTGGACGCGGTTCTTCGTGGGAGAACATGCTGCTGGAGATGGAAACTTTGTTTTTCAGCTCCCAAAATACCTACTCATTTGTCACAGCTCCCACTAACTGATGCGCGATGTTACTACCATTATCTGTGCATGAAATTTCTATGTTCCAAGGTAGCAATAACTGCACTGATCACTGTGTATAAGGTTGCTATTACCTACACTTATTAATTAGACTGCTTGTTCTACAAACTGACTTGATGTGGGCTTATGGTTCAAACTGTTTGCTTGCTTAGTAACTGTAAGACCTATACGACTATTATTTGTACTTTTTACCATATTGAATATTCACCGAATAACCACTAAATAAGAAATAGCATGGGTCCGTTACCCTGAAAAGTATAGCTTCTCTTTCTTCGAGCACTAGTAAATACCTACAGTGGTAAATTATAAAACAAATGCAATTAAAACTACTTACATGGTGTGAAATTGATTTAATTAAGTAATGTATTGCTTGCTTAGTTGTGTGATAATTGCAATGTGTACCTAGGTATTAAAATAGGTTTGGTAACACCATTATGTTCTGCTGCTTTCACATTCGCTTGACAGGTTTGGTATCAAGTTCTGTATGGAATTGTAAAATGTTAATTTTCTTATATTTAATGAATGTGGAATGTGGTGCTTTTGAACTTACAATGGATTGTATCATGTATCTCTTACTTGTTCGCTTCAGTGAATATCGATCATATTTCTTGTCTTGATACTTTTGAAAAATTGCTTATAATAAATTTACCTAGTGTACATAAATTTGGCTACAATTTTATGTTTTGGAAACGTATTTCAAAATTGATGAAAGGGAGGTGGGAGGGACAAAATTCAAAATTTAGAAAGTGTACTATCTCGCAACTACTGAAAAACATTACGAACATTAAGTCTCAAAAGTAGGCATTAATTTATTCAACATACATCTACTAAAGGCAAACTAACCCTAAAGATTATCATGAATTTCGAAATAGAAACTGGACGTCTTTTGTGCTATATCCGCACGCATGACTACGTAGATCTTAATTTTCTTGTTTTTAAAAACTACTAACAGGTAATGTTTTGTGTTGCATTAAATAGAGACGGCTGTACATGTCTGGTAGTCTTGATATGCTTAGTAATAATATAGTTACCTACTTGTTCTACTTTGCACTTTCTCAACTCGTGCTGATAGTCATCATTTTTGCACTACCTCCTAGTCATCTTCTGGTTGACAGATTTCATAATATGTTTACATAAAAACTTGTCGTGAATTTAATTATATCGTGATTTAATATGTACAAAGAGGTCACCAAGAAGAGGGCATCCGAATGTGACCCTGTTAAATTAAAACACTCGTGCACTGGACGTCCCTTAACATAGGAAAAAACCTGGCTAACTCAAAGTTAAAGTTTCCCAAAAATATGCAATAAATCGAAATCTTGTTGACTAATTGAAAACGGAGCTTTTCTTTAAAATTTAAACTACTTAAATTAATAGATACAAAATGAGTTATTGAACAGTAGGTAAATTGAAATCATTACGATTGAAAAACCAGAGTAACGAAATTTTTACAATACCTCTATTCGTCTTCTATTGACGTTGCTTCGATCCTCATAGAAATTGTCTTGATTCAAGATTTCCCTACGTCGCCGTCGAAGGTCGTATTCGTGGTATATGAAGTTGACAGGAATCAACAATGGTCCGAAATATGTAAATAGAGTTGTCTTGCGTTCTGACCAGATTTCCTTAGCGGATTTATACGGTTTCCTGATGTGAAGGTGTGTCTTTGTTGTTAATGGATTAATTAGTGCCGCTTAGATTACGTAATGCACGCGTAAAATATTTTATTTCGTGCGAGTATAGCTTTTCTATGTTTAGTTAGCGTAATTGTAAAGGAAATTAATTTTGTGTTGCTCAAAACTGCAAGAGAAAACCACTCACATGAAGCTAGTACGAGGTTACGAATTACAAAATGCGAATTAGAAAATCTGCTACTGTAATGAACGTAGTTTTCTTTGACGCCTGAATTTTATTTAGGAACCCCGTCTTTCATCTAGTCACAAAAAATGTATAGTACCGGTTGAAATTCTAATTTTGATTAATACACACACAACACCCCTAAGCGTCTTTGAGGTTGGAGCTATCCGCTTGAGATTAATTTTCTTAAAATGTTCTCTTCACTTAATCTGCCGCAATGATTTCACTAACATTTACTTTCTTTAAAAAGTTTAGTTCGATCCTTTCGCAATTAAAATTTCCGCAAAAGTCCTTACTGTAAGGAGAGTGATGCTCGAACTACCTGCTTAAGCTGTAGCTGCTAATCTAAAACGGAACCACCGCAATTTTCGCGACCAGCGTCCCCTTTTCACCAATCGCAAGCCCAATTCTTATCCAATCTGTGGCCGCAGCGCTACATAAAAGGGAATCAACTAAACTGGATGGTTCATGCTATCTCTGCTCAAAACTCACGCATTCGAAACGCGCTTCGTTGTCTCGTCGTTAAACCTACTCGCGCTCACTCTTCATATGAAGCGGTACACATGACCCTTTACACATATACAATATCACCCAAAACTTTTTCTTAACACGAAACTGACAAGGACAATATTCTACCCTTTACATCTTACATGAATCTATTTCACAAAGCTATTTAGGTACCCTAAGACATTTAATATCTAAATCTAACTTGGGAAAAAATTCCCCTAACTCGCATTAACTCACTAAATCAGTTTAAATTCGCGCCTACACCGGACTGTGCCTTATTTTAATATTACTGATTCTGCATCAAGAAGCTGTACCTAGGGATTTTAGGATGTTACACTCATTAGCTTGAAGCGATGCTGTTTGAAGGACAAATAAAAGTTGTTAATTCTACCACAGGAATAATTGGGATCAAATAAAAACTACATGACAAATAATGTTTCGCGTAGGTACAGAAGGTGAATTCATAAGCAGAGAATATTTTTTTATTTATCTATGCAATTAGTGTGTTTTGCTTGATTATTATTAGCGTGTATAGGATAACCATTTTGAAAACAATAGATTGGCTGCTTCTTTGACCTAGTGAGTCGGCTTATGTATGACGTTGTAATAATGCCCTATAGTGATTTTGATTATATGTGTATACTTTGCTTAAGCTATCTACTTTTGACTACAATTTCGTTTTGGAAACTTATTTCAAAATTGATGAAAGGGAGGCGGGAGGGACAAAATTCAAAATTTAAAATTGTTGTCCATATTTATGGAAAATATACTTTTTAAGTATAAACTTCGTTAACAAACCATAGTGATGCTGTACAGTCGTTACTGTGAAAGCTTAAAGTTAGAAAAAATGGACAATCTGAGCATCACTTTTCAAAAATAGAAAAAAAGCATATTTTTTAAGAAAAGGCGAGTGTTTTGTTTTTTAAAACGTACAATTGTAATTCACAAGACCCCTGGATCTTTATTTTCTTGTTTTAGGTAGATTTCTATCTACCTATTGCAATAGTACCAGTATATTTATATGTTTATTATATTTCGACATCCAATCCGAAGACATTGTATAGAATACCATGTAGTTCGCTTGCTCGAACTCATATCACGAGTATTTAAAGAAAGGTTTCACAAAAAGGAAACAAAAATAGAAGTTCGACCCTGCCGCCGAGCCGCCACTGAGTTAACCTTGCGTTTCGTTCCTCGCGCCAGGCGTCAGGTGATTCATTCTTCGCTTTCTCGTGCTCGTGTTCACATTCACATCGTTGTCTTGCGTGTTTCGACGATTTTGGTATCTGAGTATAACTAAATGATTTTATTTTAGCGGTTTTTATTAACCATAGGTATTATTTTTAGGCCTTTTTCGCCCGTATGTAATTTTTTACTACACATGGGCAAGTCCAACAAGCGGCATCGCTCTAGGAGCAGGGGGACGTCAAAAAGCGACCTACGAAAACGCCTTCGTAGGCTTGAGAGACTTTTAGAGGATAAGGAAAATGTGGACGGCGGCCATGACAGGCAGTCTCGGCCTCCTTTTCGTGCTATTAATAGAAGATCGGATTCCCGGTCTAAACGCGACTGCTCTGATTGCAGTTACAGCAGCGTTGAAAGCTTAAGCATTGCTGATGTTCCATCAACAAGTAGGCATCTTAGACGAAGACGTTCTTTGTCTGCTGAGGCTTCGTTAAGCCTTTCGCCTGCTCCTTCTTTAAGGGCAGGTGACAAATCCCAGACTTCTTTAAGTCTTTCTCCTCACTGTGAGGCTGAGGACCTACACGGAGCGGATGGTAGACCAAAGCCTAGAGCTCCTTTGAACTCGACTAACGGCCCTGAGACCGAATTGGAAGAAAATGTACTCATCATCGACGACGGCTCTTTAGCCCTTGATGATTTTGGAGACGTTTTAGGAAATGATTGCCCTAGTACTCCAGTTAAGGCGGACTGTTTACATGAGGCACTTTCCTCAAGGTGGAACTACATTGTAACAAATGGCCTTTCGCAGGAAAATTTACTTTCCTTATCTCAACGTTATGCAGTCCCGGAGAACTGTCCGACACTTAACTCACCTAAGCTAAATCCCGAAGTTTTAGCAATTTTGGCCAACGATCGGGTGGCTCGGGACAATTTTAATAAAAGTATCCAAACGAAACTCGCAACTGTTTTGGGAGCTATGGGAAAGTCTTTGACAGCTTTGCTGAATGACAATCCTATTCCAAAAAAGTTACGTGATGAAATTGTAGCCCCTTTGGGTGATGCTAGTCGTTTACTGGCGCACACCTTTCACGACATCTCTGACTCTAGGCGTAATTTGATTTTACCAACCCTTAACAAAAACATTAGGGAGGTTCTAGGGAGAACTAAACCAGGAGATTTCCTTTTTGGATCAGATGTTTCAGAGAGCGTCAGGGAAGCTAAGTCTCTACAGAACGCAGGAAAGGAATTAAAGGCGGCTACTCCTTTGCAATTCTCAGCTTCATACAGAGGTGGTAGGAACTCTGGGCGAATTCGTTTGAAGCCTGTGTTCACATCAGCGAAAGACCAGCGTTCTTTAAACCGTTACGGCCCGACTCGTCAAAAGGGACAGTCGAGATCATTCCGAGGCCAGCAGTCCCATCAGAAGCAGGGGAAATACAGACGATAGAGCAGGTAAGCCCAATTGGTGGTAGGCTCTCACTTTTCTATGACAAATGGTGTTGATTACTTCAAATCCCGTAATACTGAAATGGATTAAAGGCTATGCCTTGCCATTTTGTAGTTCACCTAGTCTAGAGCAAGTACCCCCAACAAAGACCTGGACGACTAAAGACACTGCTATGCATGAGGCAATTAAGTCTTTACTCAATTTAAATGCGATAAGCAAGTGCAGTCCTTGTCCAGGGCATTTTATTTCTAATATCTTTTTGGCTGATAAATCTGATGGCGGTAAACGATTCATACTTAATTTAAAACATCTTAATTCCTTTTTACAAACATCTCATTTTAAAATGGAAGACATTCGAACGGCCTTAAGGCTTGTCAAAAAAGGGTGTTGGTTCACAACTATTGATATTAAAGATGCCTACTTCCATATAGCCATTGACCCAAAATTTAGAAAGTTCTTGAGGTTTCAATTTAATCACGATCTGTATGAATTTGCATGTTTGCCTTTTGGGTTGGCTTCAGCCCCTTATGTGTTCACAAAACTAATGAGACCTGTTACACAATGGCTTCGATCTAAAAACATTATTTGTGTGTGTTATCTGGATGACTTTCTGTTATTCAATTCTTCGTATGAAGGCTCCTTACATGACACTAAGGTAACCGTAAATTTTTTGAAGTCTTTAGGGTTTTCTATAAACGTTAAGAAAAGTCATTTGAACCCCAGTCAAACCATTAGATTTCTGGGGTTTTTATTAGACTCAGAACTATTGAAAATTTCTTTACCTGCAGAAAAGAGGGAAAAAATAAAGACTTGGAGTAAAACTCTCCGGTCTAAGTCTCAATGCAAAATTCGTGATCTGGCGCAGTATATAGGATACCTGGTCTCTGTTTGCCAAGGCGTCAAGTACGGGGGGGCTCATGTTAAGCTCTTTGAACGCCACAAGTGTCTAGCACTAGCAAAAATTAATGGGGATTTTTCAGGTCTAATGGTACTGCATATGGATTTGCAACAGGATTTTTCGTGGTGGATCAATTCAATTGATTCCTCATATAATGATATTAGAAAGGATCAGTTCGTTCTCGAAATTTTTACTGATGCTTCGCTTACAGGGTGGGGCGCGTGCTGTGGGTCAGATAAGATTCGAGGGTGGTGGAGCCCAGAGGAAAGAATAAGACATATTAATTTTTTAGAACTTTTGGCAATTTTTTTGGGCCTTAAAAGCTTTGCTTCTTCGGCCACCAATTGTAACATATTAATAAGATGCGACAACACTACTGCTTTGTCCTATGTAAATAAAATGGGTAGTGTCCATCACCCAAAGTTTTCGGCTCTTGCAAGGGAAATTTGGGATTGGTGCGAGGTACGCAACTTGTGGATTCTCGCCTCCTACATTAGTTCTTCGGATAATTGGATTGCGGACCGAGAATCTAGAAGCTTACCCCCTGAAACGGAATGGAGTCTCTCTAAGGAGGCATTCGATTTGGTAACTCGCCAGTTTGGAGTGCCAGAAATAGATTTATTTGCCTCCAGAGTTAATAACAAATGTGATCGGTATGTCTCCTGGCAGAAAGACCCTTTTGCTTTTAAGATTGACAGTTTTACTTTTTCGTGGGAAAAAATGTTTTTCTACGCCTTCCCACCCTTTGCTTTAATTTTAAGAGTCTTACAAAAAATAGTAGATGATGAGGCGGAAGGGATCGTTATAGTCCCTAAATGGCAAAACCAAGCTTGGTTCCCACTTTTTTCTAATTTAATTATTGAAGGACCTATCTTTTTTAAACCTACTAAATTTTCTTTGTTTAATCCTTACAGCACCGATCCACACCCACTGGCGGACAGGCTTACACTTCTAGCAGCGAAGCTATCAGGGAAGCGTTCAAATTAAAACACTTACCAGCGAAAGTTGTTCAAACAATTCTCAGTTCCTTATCAGCGGCAACAATTCGGCAGTATGGAGTAACATACAAGCTCTGGTGGCCTTTCTGTGAGAAGAAAAGTATCTCTCCGTATGATGGGACTCCAGCTCTCGTAATGGATTTTTTACAACACCTGTTTGACATAGGGAAAAATTCTTACGGGTCATTTAATTCACACCGCTCCGCCTTGGCTCTGATTTTGTCAACGGACTTAGCGGGCCATCCCGTTTTGTCTCGGTTTTTGAAAGGGATATCTAAGCTTCGGCCTCAAAAACCGAGATACAATGTCACCTGGGATCCGCAATTAGTTCTAAATTTTTTAGAACAGAGAGAGTCATCCACGCTTCAAGCTTTGTCAGAGAAGCTAATCACCTTATTAGCTCTCTCCACCGCACACAGGATGCAAACGTTTTCGCTGATACGCCTACGTAATATTTTAGAATCAAGTACTGGATTCCAAATTTTGATCGAGGACCAAATTAAGACTTCAGGCCCAGGAAGAAAGCAACCTTGCTTAAACTTGCCCTTCTTCGTCGAAAACCCCAGACTCTGTGTTGCGACAACTTTGAAGAGGTATTTAGCGGCCACAAAAGAACATCGCACATCGAATATGGACTTTTTATTTATTACTTTTAAGAAGCCACACAGAACTGCCAGCAGGCAAACTTTAAGTAGATGGGTGAAAGACACTTTAGATGCAGCGGGTGTGAACACTCTCATTTTCAAAGCCCATTCTACACGCCATGCCTCAACATCTAAAGCTTGGCAGTTAGGAGTACCAATAGAAGTAATTCAACAAACTGCGGGCTGGACAGAAAATTCAAAAGTGTTCTGTAATTTTTACAATCGACCACTATCACAATCAAATACTTTTGCGACAACCATTCTTAGTTCTAAGTAGACGTAACATTTCTTTTATATTAAGGGGGATTAAATGTGCATTATTTCTTTGTGTGGAATTTTTAGTTGAATGCTGAAAAACAAAGCATCTTTAAACAACTACATGGTATTCTATACAATGTCTTCGGATTGGATGTCGAAATATAATTAGACGATCAAACTAACTTACCTGTGAAGTTCGATCGTAATTATATGAGACATCCAATCCGAAGACATTCAAAACCCACCCTCCCAGGCCCTAGGTTTTTCAGCATCACTATTAATCTTTAAACGGAATGAATCACCTGACGCCTGGCGCGAGGAACGAAACGCAAGGTTAACTCAGTGGCGGCTCGGCGGCAGGGTCGAACTTCTATTTTTGTTTCCTTTTTGTGAAACCTTTCTTTAAATACTCGTGATATGAGTTCGAGCAAGCGAACTACATGGTATTCTATACAATGTCTTCGGATTGGATGTCTCATATAATTACGATCGAACTTCACAGGTAAGTTAGTTTGATCGTGGACTGTATTAAGGGCGGGTTGTCAGCTATTCGCTGCTTTAAATCCAAACCTTGACAAAAAATTATATAGCATCAAAGTTACAGCAATTTAATAGAATACATTTTTTTATTGAGGGGGATTCGATACAACGCGTAGTTTTTCGTTAAAACAAAGAAAGAAATAAATATCTATATGTTTTAATTAATTCTTTTAGATATGACATATTTATTTTTAAAGGAGCTTCGAAGCTATGAATTATTCTGATTTGGTAACAAATGGAACACATTGTGTATTTCTACTTCACTATCCACTCACAACGTTTGCATCGGTCACAAGAATACAAAAATGCACCCCTGTTCATAAAGTTGTAATATTCTTTTCCAATTTACAATTATATGGGAGCCCTCCTTTCCGAAACCAATTAAGATGGCTATAATGAAACGCAATTATGTCTTCTAGGTTAATTGAATTTTTTTAATGAAAGGTTACTTCTATGAGCCTTTGAAATATTTATACAGAGCGCAACGAAACAAAAAATGGTTAATAATTAAACAAGAGTCTCGTTTGAGAGCCCCGTCACAAAAATTCCAAAATTTGTGTTTTTTCTCTTATAGCACTAACGACATTACCTAAATCTCGGGGACCCTGCTTTTATTTGGAAAACCTGGTCTTGGTCTTTTTTTTTGTATTTATTTATTTTTAATCTTTATTTTGGGCTGGGCGCGGCTATTCTACCAACCCAACCCATTATACATTTACAAATATCCATGTCCGAACCCCGATTCGAATCAGGGACCCTTAGCACCGCAGTCGAGTTTCCGCGCCACTGTTTTGAAAAACGTGAACTTTTATTAAATGAAATTCGAGCACTTTCTAAAAATGTCACGAGTCGATGCTGTTTGACCGTTCCAATAGTCACCTTAGATCCGATATTTTTTTATATTCAGATCTTAGTACCTAGCACCAATTTTCAATATTAAACCTTTTATCTCCAGCTATTTTTGCATAGTAGACTCTTGAAGACTTTAAAGGCTCAAAAGCCACGGAGACCCTAAACAACGTTTAGCTCCGAATAGCATTAAACGTAGCTAAAAGTTGATGAAAAAGACTCATGAAGGTTCTCAAAATCTCTCGGAGGCATTTGATAAAAAAACTTTTTGAGAATCCCAAAGATACCGAAAGGTTCTCAAGAACACTTCTTAAAGACTCTGTTTGATTTAACTTTTAAACGATAGAAAATGCTTTTAAGGATTCGTAAAACTTAAAAGTTCTTAAACGCTGCAAAAATTTTAAAACAATCTAGAATAGAATGCGTTCGGAGACTTGATTCTTTATTGGTGACCCTTACAGAATCATCAAACCAACGAAAAGTAATAACTTTACTGCATTTTAGAAGGTAAGGGAGGTGGGCAACTTTGGTAGCAGGGTCACACAAGCAACATCCTGCGTATGCTGCTATCCTCCTGTCGCATATCCTTCTTCAAACTTCAGATCATCAGTACCACCCGTTCGAGAGATGAATTTTTCAAGTTTTGCTGCTAACTTCCTTCTCAACAACAATTTGGAGGCAGAAGTTGTTAACAAAACTTCAAACCCTGCTTCAAACATTCATGTCTCCCGAACGGACGGTGCCGCTAACCTCAAATTGGAGACAGCACTATGTGGACACCTATCAGCACAACCAGGATAATGTTTGGGGGATTCTGCCTCCAAATTATTGCTGAGAAGGAAGTTGGAACCAAAACTTGAAAATTTCTCTCGAACGAATGCTGCTGCTGACCTGAAATGTGAAGCAGGATGAGACAGGATGATAGCAGCATAAGCAGGATGGGGATTGGGTGATCCTGCTACCAAAGTGTTGCCAACTTCCCTCACCTCAAGAGATCCTTCGATGCTGAAAGTGATTTTTAAGGGCTCTTAAAAGCTTTTGCAGACCATTAAGGGCTAATAAAATATTGTTAGGAGTCTTAAAGGTTCTTCAAGGTTTGGATTTCAAACACTGTTTTAGATTAGAGATGGAGAAGGGTTGCAAGTATTAAATTGGGTAATTAATTAATAATTTTCCACGAACACGATAAATGATTAATCAACTATAGCAAAACATGAGAAAGCAAAATAATATAATTCAGCCACTATATAATTATTAAAAATTATTTTACGAACGCGGTATGAATATAATGTGTACGTGAAATATGTAACTCGGCCCAGGCCTGTTTATTTCAATAAATGAATAAATAAATAAATAATCTTTAAATATTGAGCAGATATGTTACATGCCAGGATTTTCTAAGATTGGCCTGAAATTTTTTTCTAAAAGCGTATCAAGAGCATTGCTTCCTAGTGTTTTTGGGGGATTAGAAAATTCACAGATATGTATTACATATATTTATGAATTCTTCAATAAGACTTAATTTTGAGTGGGCTTATAAATATATAGATTTACATTACTAATGTTTCAAAAGAACATCGGGTATTTTTTGCATTTAGAAACTCGTCCCAGAAATTTGTGACACACGACCTGTGGTAGATACACCGCCTAGGGGTTAAAGAAAAGTAAGTGCTGATTTATATTGACAGAAATCAAAAAATTATTGTTAACACATTCGCCATACTTTTACATTATGTAAGCATCAACGGAAGGAAAGAATACGTAAAATGTAAATTTAAGTAAATTTTGAAAACGAGATTCGGCATCTCTGACACATTCCTTTTAGTAACCGATAAAATATAAGCATAATATCACAATGTTAGGCTAGTACAACCATTAGTGCCTATGTAATGGCTTATGTAACTTAATCCAAGCATATACGTATCAATTTTCATTGCAGAAGTCGCCAACACTTAATCAAATTAGTTGGATTGGTTGAAAACATGTAATTTAATTAATTCTATAGGCATTTTATAAATATTTTAAGTTGGGAAGTCATAAATTAATAAATTTTGCGAAACGAATGCTTAAAAACTAACGTAAAATGATGAATTTTCAACAAAATATACTGAGTTCAATTAAGGGTGTTTGACTGTGACAACTAGGCGTACATAGTAGTCCATCAATAGATGTTTAAGAGGACTACGTCAATAAACAACATACAAGAAATCCCTGATCCTCGGAAGCAATTAAAATCTAGGCGAGTCTCCTTGAAGACTTTCAATTATTTTGGTTTTTCGTTAGTAACTCAAAAAATATAATTAATAAAAAAAAGAAAATAATAAAAATTGAAACATTACAATATGAACTTTGTCGAGTTATACAAATCGTTATTGCCGAAACGACCTCTGTGAATTTGGCCCCCCAATTTTAGGAAGCAAAAGACTTCGTTTTTTATATGATCGATGGCGCTTAGATGTTTCCGCCTCTAATATCTTCGTTTGCGCCCCCGCCGTTTTTCAGTTATTCTAAATGCAAAACTCCATACTGTCTCCACATTTTTCAAATTTGACGTTTTTTCTTTCTAGTGATAGTTTGCGCATATTTGCGCCCCGGATACCTTTGTATGCCCCGCCTCCGATTTTCAGTTATTTCAAATGCAAAATACCATAGAGGTTTTTTTTAATGATCGTACATAAACAATATTTTAATTTTAATTTAATTTTAATTTTATCTTGTTTTGGGCCCTCAACAGGCATGCGCCCAATTACAGAGTGATCCGCATAATGCTATTTAGAGGTGCCTCTGCAGAAGGTTTTACACAGAAAAAAATTAATAGGGAGGTTAAGTGCGATAAATCAAGAAATCTTCTTTTTGGGACCGTTTTATTTGGCACAGTCTTGTGCACATTATGAGTCGATCCAATTGGCAGGGTGCAAGCCGTTGGTGTGGAGGGTTGGCGGTTAGTGTCGCTTACGGGCGGGAACGTGTGGTTTTGGCCCATAAACGAAAATTTTGCTTTATTACATTAAAAACATAAACATCTGAATCTGAATATTTCGGAATTTAACGTGTATATCAAAACTTACCGCGGGGTTAATTTGGCGAAGAAAGCTTTTTAGTGGTCGAATTACGGAATAAATTTACTACGGTCGAGTTTTTAAGGCCTATAATACGGGGCCAAATATTCCAAGACAACTGCGGGTGAGAATTTTCCGAAATCGAATATTGAATACCAAATTAATTTTATGGGATAGCATATTATGCGATCTTCTTGGTTTTAAAATAAATCATTGAGCAAACACACTATTTTTATTCAATGAATAATCATGCAGAACTTGAAAAATTTGAGAAATTAAAAAAATTACAAATACTTGAATAAAAATAAAATAAAAATAAAAAATAAAGAATTTGATGATTCTGAAGAATCTTAAGAATCTGAATAATCTGAGCTATTAAAAACTTTGATTATCTGGATTAAAAAATATTTCGAATATTGGGATAAACAAGTCTCAAATTTCATCCCCTTAGGTGTCTACGTGGTGGAATTTGAAAGATTATTCGATTATCTCTCCGGTGACTGATTTATTAGGACCTCCAAATTTTAGCTTTGACACCCCCTGCATAATGTCATCCCGAAATTTAAAAAAAAGTAGACTTTGTCTTACATCCAGTGTGATGTGTTTTTTTAAATCTTAATTA